CATATTCATAGACAAAGTGCAATTTAAAATTTACACACATAAACCCCTTCTTTTACTTTTTATGTTATTCAGATGACCAACTACATCTTATTTCAGAACAAGAATTATCAGTCCATATATATAGCAAGGACTTGCCTATTTGGCATGAGTTTTACCCACCTCACTGAAATGGCAGATATATATCAGAGTGCCATTTCTCATACAACAAAAAGTATGAGTATTCAAGGCAGCACCAGAAGGCATGGAGATATTTTCAAATTCAAAACAAATAAAACTGCAGTGGCTGCACAGGCAACATATCTTCTTTGGTTCTTGTTCTTAGAATCACCAGGATCAGGCTGCACAGCATGTGCAAAGACTCAGTCATGGTGCAAGGGTCATCACCAGCCACATTAAGACATGAACCCACTTTTAAATGTTTGTCTCTTTTTCAGGAATTCTGTGGGTTCCTACTTTTTGATCACCAGTTATTCTCAAATAGAATTCTTTCTGTAGACAGGATGAAACAGATTTTCTTGGGGGAGGGGATGGGGGTGAGGTGGGGGTAATCAGGTAATATTGAAACATCTAAAATCTAACTGAATCATCATCTGTGAAAAGTTAAGAGATATCCTATTTGCTGTCTTTCTACTCATAGAGAAAGCTTTCCACAGCCAACTTTAATTCTTTCAATTAAACTATCATTGCCTTTAAAGGCTTATTGCTCTCACTGGGATCTTTTGATGTGGCATAGGGAAAAGGATATCTAAAATCTGATCAGTATGTAGGAGTCCACAGATGCTTGCAACAAATACTACTTTTTTATCATCAAGTTCTATTCAATTCTATAAAGAAAATTTAATTATCAAATCATGGTAATCTTTTGGGATTCTTTCCTTTTGAAGGAATGTTAACGAGACAAGAGATTTAAGTTTTTCTCTTGCTCTAGTCCTTCACCTTCTCAGTAACAGGCACAACCATTATTTAGAAGTCTGTAACTAGAGGCGCATGAATGTCCTGTTGAAAGCTGGTTACCAGAGTTCTTGAAATCAAATCTCACTGTGCACTTTACTCTCATTTGTATGGGAAGTGGAATAGTCTCTTCCCTTGTATTCACACCAGTTCACATACAATTGGGATCCCCTCTGGATTCTGAAACTATGAAAGCCTCATGTAGCTGCAGTATTCTTACAGTAGGAACATTTTTAACCTAGTTTTTATCCTATCCCCTTACATCCTGGTTTCCTTGTTGAGATCACATCTTGTCAGTGATCTGGGATGTCAGCCAAAAAAAAAGAGAGGACTGAACTGGTGGATGTTCTTTCCACCACCAGGCTCTAGGTCAGGATTTGATAGACTGCTGACCCATCTCCAGCCACGAGGGCGTTTTTCTATTCATTAAGCTTTGATCTGTCCAGAAGCTAAAATGCTTATCAGCATAGCTTTCACTGTCACTGCCCCGAAAATGCCAGATAGTCCTTGCACTAGTTTTACAGCATTGGTCCTCACCTACAGCTATGGTAATTCCTGAACCACTGAAGAATTAACTGACTGTTCCATTGCTGCTTGCAGGCATGCCTATACTTGGTCTCTCTTCCTTAAAATAGGAACTAGACAAAAGAATGTGGCTGCTTCTGCACTTGCAAGAAGCAAGGGGAGTCTCAGGCACCTCACCCCACTTTACTAGCCAGCTTGACTTCCCTGAGAAGGATCATGATGTTCACCAGAAAAGGGTCCATCACCCTTGCACGGACAGTACCCACTTCTAGTTGCCCAGCATCCAGGCTTCTTTCTGGGTGACAAACCAACCTCACAACACTTCAGGGATTGTGAATACAATTGCTCCTGCTCCTCTTCCAAAAATCTTGATCCATATTCTTTCTAGTCCTTTATTAAAGAGTTGACATTAAGCTTATTCTCCGCCCCAGCCTCTCTAAACATAGAGTTGAACCAGCCGCCTCCACCATTCTTTACACTGAAGGACATCAGGGAAAATTGAAGCAAAGTCTACAAGTGTATCACCTTCCCAATTTGAATTCAGAAAGGTTAAAGTATTTTGTCCTTAGTTATGTCAACAAACTTTGTTATGATACTTTGAGTGTATAATAACAAAGTATTATAAAAAATAGATCAAGTTATTACAACTCATTCAACAGTCCACTCCCTTTCAACAGTCTCAACACAAACTATGTAAAGAAATGTTTAAAAGAAACATTTCAGAACTTCCAAAAAACCATTCTTAAAGTTCCAGAGCTTCAAAACACAACTATCATTCCAATATAAAATGATTTTTTTTTTAAATTATGGCATTTTTCACTGAATAGGAGGTTTTAACAAGCTCTAATGATGATCGTTCATCTCTATTAGGAAATTGAGACACTGTATTCCCTAAAATCCCTTTCAAATAGACACTAACTCAGGCTTCAAATGGATCTGAATACAGAATAGTTACTGTCCCACTGCACTGGGTTAAAAAGCAATTAGCTTAGCATTAATGAAAAAGCAAAGGCACTCACACTGTCAAAAGTCAAGGATCCCAAACCTAATCAATACAACTGTTCTAAGTGGCTGCATTAAGAGATTTTCTCTCCATGCACTATATACGGACCCTAATAATCTATTTTGGCATCTTAGAGGTTTACAGTCCGATAGTGTTAATATCTTTCTAATAGCTACACGCCAAGAGAGCAGTCGTCTAAAAGCTCACATGGTGAAACACAACGGCACGCGTGTCTGGACAGTGTCAAGAGAGGAATGTGATGCATACTTGCGCAGAAGAACATACACCAGTTCCCCTGTAACATGTGGACTCACAAGACATTTGCCCCAGACTTTCATGTCTTTTTTTTATAACAGTTGTTTTGGGGGTTTTCGTTGCTGTTTTTCGCTTGACAGTGAGATACACAGCATAAATTATCATGATGATTCTCAGTAACAAGAGGAAGAACCTGAAAACATAGGCTTAAAATAAATGCTTCACTATCTTTTTGCACTGCCAATGTGTTACTTTCAGTGCAGATTTTTCACTCAAAAAAATAAGGCACCAGAAAAAAAGCCCAGATCTCCACATTTCTAAGGGACACATAGCACAGTATTAATCAGAGGAAACCTAAAAAAGTGATGGTAGACACATAAGTTTTAAGTACCTACCAAAGCACCTGAAAACCAGCCAGTATTCTTCCTGGATCCTGTAGGAAGCCTGAAAGTATTAGGTGAGAACTGCCAGGCTCCTGGTTCTTAGTGAAATTCAGACTAACTTGTCACTACTGAATTAATGAGACAACCCTGAAGAACTGGGAATCGGGCACGTGTTATTGTAGGGAACGCACGTATGACACGCACATTCAGTTGAAAGAGACTCTGTATATATTCCAGTTGGCACGTTATAACCAAAGGTGACTATATTCACTTGAGCTTAAGGTTCAAGTGGATGACCTAGTTTTGCTTGTCTACAAAATAAAAACAGAGAATGAACAACTAAAATAGAAATGTAGTCCTGTTCCTTTTAATATTATCTAAAAAGTACATGAGATCCATGGCCAGCTGCTGGTAACTTCACATTGACATAATAGAAAAAGGCAAAACAAAACTATCAGGCACTAGATTCAATAGTAATTTGGATTTTGTTTGTTATGGCTGATTACAGGAGACAGTGCTGACCTCAATAACGATGTTCTAGTATCACACAAAACTATGGGGTTTTAAATAGAAAGGCAGTATACTGTTTACAGGCTCAGCTTGTCCAGAATTAAGAGATCATTTTGTCACATGCAGCTATGGTAGATGTATGAAAAAGTAACCTCCCATTCCACACAAACCCCACAGTCTATAGGTTGTTACACATCTGCACGTGGAGCACACAAAGGATATGTTCATGTAAAACCATGCACTGCAGCATAAAAATATCTGAGCTACCAATAAGTAGGTGAAGCAGTCTCTGAAGCTCCATGCTGTTGAGTTTTTTTCCTGGTATGTAAGCTAGCTTAGAAATCCTATCTAGCACAGTACAGTCAGAAACTCCTGAAGTATGCTGCCATTGCAAAAACAGCTCCATAGAATCCCTGAATCCTACTGAAGCTAATCCGATTCTTCACCTCATTTGATCTCCATCACTCTCTTTATGGAATAATTTGTTAAAACAGAAATTTTCAGTAAAAAAAATCTAGTTCCTTATTTTCCTAAATTGCTTTGGAATGCCCATTAAGTATATTGTAAAATATACCTTATTTATGTAGTAAAATTAGAACATATGTTCTATGTTCCTGTATGAACAGGAAAAAAAGGCAATATGACCTTTCCCTCATACATACCTAGTTCTCACACATTCTTTTTGAAAGTTCAGTCTGCTCACAATTTCTTTTTATATTAGAGCTAAGTTAACTGTTTATTTGTGATGGTATTTCAACAATAACAGGAATACTAGAGTTGCAAGAACAAATACTTCCAGGGGATGAAACTGTTTTCATAGAGCCCAATGTCCTTTAAAAGTGACAACATAAACAAAGTATGTTTAAACACCCAAGGATGATAGACATTTCAAGTTGCTACATCACTAGCCATACCGCAAATTTCAAAAAACGCCTGAAAACGAAGACTCTTTTCCTGGTGCTGACTCACATACATTGGTGGGTTGAAAGGACAGATAAATCGGTTAAAACTTCCAGCTCCCTGCTCCACTTCTTAAGCAGTGATGGATTAACAAAAAAAAGAAGCAGTATCTGAGTTTACAACGCAATGTGAACAAGTAAACCAGCACTGTTTTCTATTTATTTAATCCCCTGGGCTGTACACTCTGCTACCAGTGACTGTTCCATGCTCCACTTGGCCACCCCAGCTCTGCCACCACAACCTGCAGGGCTGGGAACAGCTTTAGCTAGCTAATCTTAATATAATGGAAACAGGAATTTCAGAATCACCGATTTACATATTTATCCACCTAAAACAATAGTAGAATCTCCCTGGTTTATCTTTCCTTCAGGCCACCAACACTTTTCACTGATGTACATCTCAGTTGCTCTTACCTGTTGTTTGAGAGCCTCTAGAGATTCAAACTCCAATTTGGCCAGCTTTATCTGGATCTCTCTCGGCTTATCCGGAATTACAAATGCCAAGATAAACTTTATCGCTAGTAGCAAGTGCTGGAAAAAAAAAAAGAAAAAGAAAAATATTATTCTATAGAGCTTGAAGCATGAAAAGAAAAGTGTAATACTATTTCCAAATTTTAGTAATAGAGATATAAACAATTATTTCTTGTGACATGTGCAACACGGATAGCATACTATAACTACATTGAGCCTCAGCTACTCTGTATTTTTTCTATTTGCAGTCAAGCTTGAAGCATGAAAAGAAAAGAAAAGTGTAATACTATTTCCAAATTTTAGTAATAGAGATATAAACAATTATTTCTTGTGACATGTGCAACACGGATAGCATACTATAACTACATTGAGCCTCAGCTACTCTGTATTTTTTCTATTTGCAGTCATTCATAATTTGAATATAAACACATATAGTTTGGCTTACTTTCATAATAATCCTATTTTCAGTGTGTACTATAAATTTCAAATTCAATTTTGTATTTGTGATTCCAGATAAAATAATAGTTTTAAAAACATATTATTGGTGCACAGAAATTAAATTATGACACTCAGAACATATCGTTTCATAGTGAAATTTTTACATACACAGAATTTCTGCATTAGAGAAGTTATTAAAACCAAAAACATCCCTGAGAGAGCATTAGAAGAGAATAAAACAAAATAAAGTATGATCCTTAAGGAAGTAGTACACTCATGAACAGAAACGTTTAAGGAAATGGAGAAGCATTCCACATATAAGATGCCAAATTAGTCATAATTTATCACAAAAGACAATAATCTTATTTAAAAGAAAACAGGCATGAAGTTCTGCTGAACCTAATCACTGACCAGTCTTCAAATTTCACTTAAACATGCACCATTGCCCTCGTCTCACCAAAACCAACTGTCAAAATGTCATCTGTCAAGTCAGTGAGTTTGTTTCTTCATTTTTGTCAAATATAAATGGAACCTAAATTATAGTCATTAAATCTTAATTTATCAAGGGCTGATCCAACAGTATGCTGCATGTTTGCACACAGGAACTTGCTTCTAGCTGAGAAAACCCTGACCAATGCAAGGCAACACTTAAGTTTAACTTTAAGCACATGCTTAGGTTCCATTGTACAGTATGCTGCATGTTTGCACACGGGAACTTGCTCCTAGCTGAGAAAACCATGAACAATGTAAGGCAACACTTAAATACATGTGCTTAACTTTAAGCACATGCTTAGGTTCCATTGACATGAAGATACTCAAAGACATACTGAAATTTAGATTGCATGTCCAAGCTACTCATCAAATTTCCCTGAATTTTTATAAAATGGAAAAGATCAGTGCTCCTTTCTGAAATACAGACCAAAAATCTCTGAGATTCCAGAATTACGTGAGAAAGAAGCAAGCAAAACCACTACAGACTTCATAGGAGTGCTAGTGAAACTCTAAATAAGCCAATTCCAATAAATAAGGAAGACTTAAAGTAAGAAATCAGGTAATAGTAACAAGTAAGAGAACAACAACAAAGAGTCATATATGAAATTATTTTTAAAAATATATTACAGAAAAATAGTTGGTAGGTCAAATAAGGAAGACTTAAAGTCAGAAATCAGGTAATAGTAACAAGTAGGAGAACAACAACAGTCATATGTGAAATTATTTTTTAAAATATATTACAGAAAAATAGTTGGTAGGTCTAGAAAACAAATTGTTAGTGCAAGGAATAATACTTCCACTTCTTTATTTAAAGAAGTGGAAGGAAGGCTGAAAATTAATAAAACACTAATACATCACCAGTGAAACCTGAGCACAGATTAAGATGCTAATGAAGCAACTAGCATGTCCACTGTGTAATGCAATGGGTAATACCACAGTATTAAAAAAAAAAAAAGTCAACACTAAAACATTCTCTCACACAAATTTTGTTTTCCCACTCAGTGTTTGCTGCTAAGGAACTTTTCTTGCAAAAAAACCAAGAAACAAAAAACCAACAATAATACATTACAATATATATTGTGTATCTATATATACAGTACAATATATATACACAGTACAATAATACAACAGAAATACATAACAACAAAAGATGTCTCAGAGCTAGCACTGGAGGAATCTCTTAAATGAAAAAAGGTAAAATGTTGAAAACAATAATTAAAAATAAGAGAAACAATACTCCTGTGCTGAATAGAGTTACAAGGAATCACAGGTTGAAGGGGAATAACTAATCTACAGATACAATTTTGGTTTGGAAACAGGAAAATAAGGAGATCGAATTTGGAGTAACTGAAAACTAGATAACAGGATTAGGATAAAATCTTACACTTAACGCAAACGACCAACAGAACTAGTGGAAACTGAAGGATTTGGATGGGGATATATATTTGGAAAGTTACAATGGACATTTCAGTTGAAAAAAAGACTCAGCATCACAAAATGTAGCTTCTAGCTGCCCAAAGTCCTTCAGACTGGGGTTCATATAACTTTGCTATACAAAATTTAAAAATCCTATTTTTTGATCAGATTAAAGAGCAAGAATCAAAGTTTGGAACTGTAATTGTTTAGCCACTGCCTCTTGAAGAGCCTTGAAAACATAAGTCAAGTTAGTAACTGCACAGAGACTTCAAAGTAGCTCCAAATCCAAACAATTTAAAAAAAATAAATCAAAATATTTTCCGGGAAATGTAAATAACACTATGGAGGACGGAGGCTAATTTTCTACCATTTTTGATAGGGGTAAGGAAGGAACAGAAGAGACATCTAGGGAGACCAGAAATAAAACCAACAAAAATGCTGCATTTTATCCTGGACACCACTGTATTTTTACAAATAGATTTAGAAGGGCAACGTGTTTTAACTGCTTCACCATGTGAAAAGTTTTATTGTATCAACTAAACCAGAGCCCGGCAGTTCAGCAGAACTCCAGGGATGGGTTTTTGGTAATAGACTACCTGCTACCCACATGTATTGAAAAACGCTTTTGACACAAACTAGCTGTTTGTCAGAAAATAAGTCAGTTTTCATGCTAGCACAGCTCATAGCCTGTAAACACAAGGATGTGGCCTTAAACACGAGGGCAGAAGTTTTGATTCAGAAAGCCTTCAAGCCAGAGAGGGCTCAGAAGTTGGAGTAGAGATGGGGAAAGTCGCTACTTTTGCTTGCCCTACTGTCATCCTCTCTCCTAGGCACCCACTACGGGCCACTGTAAAAAAAAGATGACTGGGTTAGGTAGACCCCTCAGAATATCTCTTTTATGTTCTTTTCCCTCCCATCAAAACAAAGCTTTATCAGTCACAAAGTGACTGCATGGGATGTCCCTGTGGGCAAGACTGCGACCTCATAAAACACGTTGGACTTAACAGACTGCAAATTCAGTTCAATTCCAGCTCCTAAGTCTCAGTGAACCTGAAAAAAGACATCAGAGCAACAGCCTCCCTTGGATAACTTCTCCAGCTGTTCCTATTTGCAAATTAGGAGAAATATCAATAAAATTGTGAAGGAAACTGCCAGAAATAATGAATGTGGGATACATGATCATGAAACCTCTTTAAAAGGAAATGTATCTAATTTTATTAACAGCTTATATCACATTTTGAAATTGCCATTTGATTAAGGAAATGTAAGTAGTTATTCAAGAGAAATTGAAGGAAAAAGTGTATCGTTCATATTCCATACTGATTTCTTAATCTTGTTTTAGTATAATTCCTGTAAGTCAGATCCACAAAAAGGAGATACCTGCTTTCAAACAAGAAACATCTTAAGTGTACAGGATAAATCACCAGAAGAGCCAGCAAAATTCTCCCTCGTAGTATAAAGTTACATTAACACTAGTACGAATATATTATAAAAAGAGAATACAAAAGTTTATCCAGATTTGCTACACAACTAGTATAGATGTATTTGTCCAATACTAAAATTTCTTCATAGGGTTGGGTTTGGTTTTTTATATTTTGGGGTGGGTTTTTTGTTAAATCAGGTTACAAACCCAACCATTATTTCTAACTGCAACCATTAAAAAGCATCGCTGTTTCCAAGAACATGCCCTTCAGGATGACAAGAGGACTATTTCACTGCGAGCAAAGCCCAGGATAACATTCACACAAGCTGTAAGCTCTCGGATGCCAACAGCAACGTCCCCTCCTATTCTGCAATCTGCCAAGCAGGCACAGAGAGAAAAAGCAATGAGTCTCTCCCCCTTGATAAATGCACTGCCATCAAACTCTTTGTGGTCTTGTGCCAGGTGCTTAGAGAGCCAGAAGAACCATTCTGTTCTGCAAAGCCACCGACAAGAGTAGAAGCAGCAGCTGTGTTTTGCAGCAGTGGGTCCCCAACCTCATCTATTCTAAAACACAAAATGCAAATTAGGGTTAAATTCCTGGAATTCTGAACAGCTAATTTGATTTCTATAGTGGTCTTACTGCAGCAATTCCTGTCAAAATCTACTCAACTGAAAAAAAAAAAAAAGAAAAAAAAAGATTATAAGCAGTAGCTGTGTTGCTGGATAGCTGATAAAGTGGGTGCCAAACGCCAGCTTGGAGAAACTTTAATAAAATTTTGTATCAAAAGCCTATTTTAGAATCCAATACTTATAAAAACTTTCAATTAAAATCAGAAATCTGGACCCAGTCGAGCCTAGAAGCTGTGAAACAAGCTGGTCACTGGTTAGTAGCTCTGCACAGACAAGGAACCCTACACGAAAGGCAACACCTGAGCACAGCCCATCACTGCGAAACCTCTGCTCTCGGCTGGGGTTTGCAAAATGCCTTTGCAAAGGTAAAGGAAACTATCACTGAGAGATCATGTTGCTTCCAGAGCAGGAGGCAGGGAGATCATCAGAACCTTTGCTAGGACTCCGCATCACCATGTTCCCATACTGAACTCAGCTCAGAGCAAACACTAAGAACACACCAAAAACATAATCACGTTTCTGCCTTTGTGTGGCAACCGTTTGTGGCTTTGAGGGTCTTGCATCTTTCTGAGAGTAGAAGAAAGGTGGGGGGGGAAGTGAAAAATAATTCTGTCAAGGGAGCAATACAGGCAAAGGAAAATTTCCATAAAGCTCAGGAAGT